AAAACCGTCCTTCCCTGACATGATCTGACACTAACGAATGGGTCTGAACACTAAAAAAAGGGTTGAGTAAACCACTCTTCGAAGCTGTCTACACAGTATACACTAACAGCCCGTCCGAGTCAGTCCTTGTACCACAGATTCTTTGACCGCAACCCATAAACAATCCTCCAAGTCGGAGTTACCTTACCATTAGGCCACCCAGAGGCCAATCACAACACTCTAATGTCAACTCCAGTGCCTTATCATCAAGCAACCTTTTTTACATACACAGTGGTCTTACCATTCAAGTGTGCCCTATCCCTTTTCGGATGCCTGTATCAGGAAGTCCATCAGTCATCCCGGGCATGCGTTGTTGCCCGGAAAACTCGTATCCGGCAACGGCACTCTCCCTGATGACACATGCAAGGCATAATGCACACTGGTCACAACTAGGTATACCTACGCTTGATGTTGGAAGGCTGAATCTGGCAGCTTGGTGGCGGATGTACCCCAGTTTATTGTCCCCGAGCGACTTTACTCGGGATTTTCCGTTTCGACGCTGTATCGGAGTATGACCTGACTCCGTGCAAGAATTCCTTATTTTGCCGACCGGCCGACTGAGTGTACGAGTGTACGAAGACGTCCCTGAAGAGCGTATGCAGTCCTTCCAGACACTGGGTCGGCATCGCGGTCAGCAGGGTGTATGCGAGGCTTCATCGGATTTACACCGTCTGAATATTTTCAATAATTTCCTGTTTTGCATCCTGCTGTTACTGCTATCCTACCTTCCTACGCACACATGGCTCGATTCCATGCCTAATATCCTTGAAAATCGCATGGCTTTGCAGTTTCGGATATTCTCCTTGATTCGGTCTGGCGCTGATGTTCTTGGCGGTCAATTCATCTGCCACCACGTGAGAAATTACAATGCCTGGATGCAAATGTTTCTAATTCAGCTTCTCGACCTAGCAGCATGGGCACGTTCTCATTCGGTTCAGCCGCATCGACCAACCTACCTTGAGCTATCACATTGAACACCCACCCCCGCATGAGACGGGTAGCCTTGAGATCATGTTCACCGAGGAGCTGGGTCACCTCCTCGGCGGCAATGTCGACCACGGTCTGGGTTGTAGATGCTCGCGGGGAACGTACCGTGGTTCTGTTGCCGGTGCGGAGTTCGGCAGGTCTGGCCAACGTCAGCTGCGCAAGCCCTGTCAGCCCTAGAACCCCATTGAACGACGAGACCTTTCAATTCATTTTATAAGCTGCCCAGTACTCTGGAATGGCTTTCAATTTCGGTCGGTGTGCAAGAGATGCTTGACTCACCTCAAACAGCGGTTGCTACATGGCTCAAGACTGTCTCGGCATCCAGTTGCGACATATCCTAGCACGATCCAGCAATAAGAAAGGAGTGAATTTGCCACCAGGCCCCTTATTCCTTTCCCCGGAACGCCAACGCAAGCCTCCCATTGCTTTTTGGGAGGAGGCTTGCTGTTGTGGCGCCTTCTGGAGTCTGATCATAGACTACTGCAAACATTTATGCCGGTACACCGCGATGAGCTGCAGGAACGACATTGATCCTAATATCTTGCCCCTGACTAGTCAAGGCGGCTAAAAATCTAATAGTGTTCGAGTCGTCACCTGCGTCAAACTATCGAGGGCTATCGCAATCTTGTCAAGGGCGTCAATGCAGCGTCATGTCGTTCAACGGTGATGCTGAGCGCTAGTGGCAGACTAACGACTATACGCAGTAGCAAAACGAACGACTGCTCCTATGGCGAATCAACAGAGAGACCACGGCACCCCCTCTTATAATGTCAATGGTTACATAGTTCCTTGGATGAGGGATTGACCAATGCTTATTGCCACGAGCTGAGCGCAAAATATCTTATCGACAGTGTCTTTGCTGCGTATAAGTCAGCGTTGCATTGCGCTGCAAGCGGTAAGAGAATACGGGATTGATCGGTTCAAGCTGACATGTTGGTTTACCAGTGACCTCTTGATCGCATTTTTCAATGTTGTTTTATGACTCTGCGCATCCGTACAATATCCGGATGGAGTGTAAGCCTGAGGCCTAGCAACGTGGGGGAAGAATGTCACAGTGACAATGGATTTCAAAGTTGTCGATTAGGATCAATAGTTTGTTTGTGTTTTACCTCATGGAAATGATCAAGGCTAATCTTTGGAGCAGGATGCAGAATGGATGAAACACCAGACTGTTCAAGATTTCAAGACTCTGCCATTGTTAATGTTGGAGCTCAAAGAAGCAAAGGGAGGCATCACACAGCTCAGCTGTTCGCCGCAATCACATCAAGGCAGACATATTGGCTGATCCTCTCACTTTCGTGAAGGTCTGCTTTGATTGTCTCTTTAAGCACGTCGCTTCGAGACACTTGGAGGAACACTTCCACATCGCGCAACGTGCTTAAACGCCAGAGGCAAGTGCCAAAAGAATCATCAAGGCCGAAGCAATGTCGACCAACTGCCAAGCAGAAACAGAAAAGCACTTTACCTGATACCCAAGCTATCCGCGACGAACACTTTTTGTGATATGGATTCCATCAATGGTCTGGGACAAGTCTTCTTCCTCCTCGGATGCTGCCGACCTGCTCTGCACTTGGGTCGAATGATGCAAACACTCCAGGTACGATGAAGACAAGAAGTTTGAGCCCAAACCTCATCGCGATCATCTGAATCACAGCTGAACGAGGCAATCACAGCTGAACGCCGACTGAGAGCAGCCCAGACTCTTCAGTAATGTCCACAGGCAAAACATACCCAGACCATTCACCAGCAGTACATCCGCCAGTAGGTTGCAGGTATCGTTCTTCCTCGCGTCCCGAGCCCCTCCAAAAAAAGGAACCCAAGAGCACAATGAAAAAAAAAGGTGTGATGTAGGCCGGTCAGACTTCCATCGAAACCCACCCCGCCCAAGCGCCCGAAGGCAGACCTTGAGAAAAATCGGGGTACAGATCATCGCCACTCTCTATACAATCTTGCAGTAAAGCAAGATCGCCACCTTTGCAGGCAGAGCGAGAGTAAAATAAAGGGACCTCACTGTTGGGAAACGAGGATATAGTTCATCAACCCGGGTGGGATCTGTGGCTCCTTTAGGGAACACAAAAGAGGACAAATACTATAGAAATGATTCTCCTGTGAAGCGCAGTGTGGTTAGTAACATTTTCGGGGGTACAGATCCCAATAGTAGGGGGGTAAACTCACTGAAGTATTGTCGACATGAAGAAAAAAAAAAGAGAAAAAGAGAATCCAAAATGGGGGAGAGAGGAGGGTGTTTTATACCCCTCCTGTGAAGAGGTTCTGGTGGTCTGTGCACGTGTGAAATTTTTTGGGAGTGGGTGGGTGTCCACTTTGCCCGACGGACGGACGGAGGTACCACTAGGGACGGAACCTTTTTCGGTTTGGAGAGGTACCGAACTCCGTAGGGTATGGACCCGCTCCCTCTCGGCCCGTTCCGTCTTTTGGGTCCACTCCGTCTTCTCCGCTCTGCTCCGCTCCGCTGGTTGACCGGCGACGGCATCGGCACCGGCGACGGTAAAGAGCTAAGGAAGGAAGGACTTGGAATTGTTGAACTGGACGTCTCGAGAACCACCTTGTCGTTACCACTCGTATTAGCATTAGTCATGTAGATTTAGACTATAATTCCCAGTTTCCCGAAATGGTTATGTAGAGGTAGGTCGAGGTATCATGGCTCTCCTTCTGTAGAGTGCCGGGATCAATTGCGATGTGCATGTAAGAGTACCTCGCTTGATGAAGCTGTATTAACAGAAGACAAAGCGGATCGTTTGCGATCACGTTTTGGCGCTGTTAAAGCCGGTGAGAGTGTATAGGGAGTAAGGAGAAAGGCCTGGTCGATGTCATGGTTTCGACGGAACCGGACAGTTCATCTTCCACTCCGTGTCGTAACGTCTTGGCTTCGCACGTTGATGTCTTTTGATCAGTGTCATTGTCATTCTTTTTACTCTCGAGGTATTCTTGCTAGCGGTGGAACAACAAATGTCCTTCAACGCCCGTTCGATATCATACCTATGCGTCCAAGTACACATTGACCACCTCACTGGAACTACGACTACCGGTAGCCTTCACTCTAGCCGACTCTGGTGATCGATCAGGCGATGCAGGCAACGCAAGTCAAGTATCCATCACCTTCTCTTCCTCTTCCTTATCCTCTTCCTCTTCCTCTTCCTCTTCCTCTATCTTCCTCTTCCTCTTCCTCTTCCACAGGACCGGAAGTCCTCTCCATATCACTCCGCCTCTTACTCTCCAGCTCAATAGGTCACTTTGTGAATAATCGATAACTGCGTCCACGAACTCCCTTTCGAAAACTCTCCCTCTTTTCTCACATTCCCTACAATTCCAGAATTAGCTTCAAACACCCCATCACCATGCCCAACACCCCAATGCTGCTGCTGCCACGGAGGATCCTGGCGGATTCTGACTTATTAATCCTTCCTCTCCATCCTGTTGCCTCTGAGAGTGTCCTTAAGAGTCAGGCCCGTATCTTATTCATGCGCTTCCCTTGCCCTTGAGCAGATTGAACAGATCGATGCGAGCTAGACCTAGTTGGTCTGTCACGCCCATCAGACCCGTGAACAGAACGGCTAAAGGTTCCAGAAATTCTGTCCGGGATGAGCCGCCACGCCCATTCCCAGCACCACGAGTACCAGATGCAGAACCAGACTCAGAACCATCCCCAGCCCCGGAACCTAACCGCCTTGTCCAGCAGACAAATCCGAACTCGTTCTCGAACTTAAACTCAGACGAGGATTAACTTCGTCGTCTCGCAATCCTCAACATCCAGTCCGCCAAATGTATCACCTTGAAAATGTGCATCAACCAGCCAAGCAAGCAAGTGAAGGTCCCGCCGGTGATGCTACCCTTACTACAGCGGCCATGTCATTATCCATTTTCTTTTGTTTTCCCCCCAAGTTTTTTTTTTTTTTTTTTTTTTTTTTTTTTTTTTTTTTTTTCCGTCGCCGTATTGTTGG